AATATCAGGAACAAGATTTATTTCAATTTTTAATGAGATGGACATAAAACTAAAGAAAATATTGTTCACATGAGGAATTATGGGAAATGCTCCCTTAGATTTACATACAACTTAACTATAGCATAAACAAGTGTCATGTGCTGAAGAACTGGTGCACTGAAACATTTTCATACATCTTGACCATAACATAAATAAGTGTGATGTGCTAAGGCACTGAAACACAGAAAATTACTCTTAAATTACTCAAACACTTCAGTAGAGTTGCATACCTATGACTTTAACATAACATGTTAAGAAAAACAATAACAATTAAACTAAAAGCTGGACTTGCTTTAAAACGTTCAAAAATTAAATATTCACTTTCTTACATAAAAAAATTTTTCATCTTAATTTAATGTTATTATCATTCAGATATAGACCTCAAACAAATGATTAAACAGCAAACACTAATTACACAGGCCTGTGAAGTTAAACTTCATAAAAGTTGTTTTTGTTTTATTAACAGATTTCTCATAATTCAGCTATGCAGATTTTGAAAATAATATTCACGTAAGGATTTTTTATACATACAGAAGAAAAGGGAAGAAAACTGATGTCAAACAAATATGCATCCTTATTAATCCTTATTTTTTTGGGAAACTTACATTTTTAGTTTCAAAACTACGTGTTGTGGTCTTTCTTTCATGCACAGTGTCTGGAGCATCTCATTTCAATGACCAGCAGTAATCAGCCATCATGCTGATGTTCCACCTTCCCTGATACCTCCTCTCCATTTCCCTGATGTCTTGATGAAACCTTCTTCCTTGTTTTTGCTAGCAGCACCAAGATTTTCAGAGAATAGTGAATATGAGAGTGTAAGAAATGAACTTTCAAGCTCATATAACAACTCAACTCTTTGAATTTATTGAGCATGTTACTAACTATATACATATATTTTTTTTGGCCCGGCATGGCCAGGTGGTTAGGGTCCTCGACTCGCAATCCGTGGGTCGCGAGTTCGAATCCCCGTCACACCAAACATGCTCGCCCTTTCAACCGTGGGGCGTTA